TCTCTCTCTCTCCTCTCTCTCTCTGTTAAGTTAAATGCTATTTTAAAAGATATATTATTAACATATCTTCTACCAGATTAAAAGCTTGTGGCTTACGTGGATTGATCATAACACCACCGGCACTTTCTGCGGAGAACTAGTTCACAGGCATCTGCTGCCACGTGTATCTCGTTACAAAGTGCGCATTGCGCAAGCATTTAGAGCTTAATATATCATCAAAGGCGTACTAATTGAGGTATCAATATCATCATCAATTTTCACCTAGGTACACCATTATAAAAGTTAACACATTTAACTGTTGCAATCACTTTTAAGCGGTTTTATTTACTGTCTAGAGGCAAGAAAAAGTTGGAGTCCTATACAAGCAAAAATACGTCTTTCTGAAGAAAAACAATGATGTGGATTTTTAGCATCGCGTCTGCCCTTGTCGTGTGTGTATGCATGGCGCATGGAAGCCCGGTAAGAAATTAATATACAGTAAGCTTGTTATTTTGTAAATTGTGAGGCATCTTGATGTAATCAGGTGCTTGTCAAATTAATGAAATCGAAGAAACAGGAATTCTTCTCCCAGTTGAGCAAGTTTTATCCATTTTTTTTCCAGGGGACTGGCTCAACAACTTTTACGCCAATAAAAAAACACACATCTGTGTCGATTTTACTGGAAAACGCTGATTAAACGCAAAACAAAAAAGACATAAATAAATGTAAATACGTTGTTTCATAACACTCATAATCTTTGGAAGTCACCAAACTTTGGTGGTGGAAAGGGGGGGGGGGGGCATTTTCTCGCTTACACTTTTGCCTTATTCGACATTAGTGTTAAATGAAAGGCCAGAAATTTTGTACTCTTTGCTACAGAACAATTAAAAAAACCCACCCCCAAATTATAGTATACAATGGAGTCCGTTTAAACTGAAATCTACGAAACCGGTAGATTTTCTTCGCTTTGGATGGGTTTCCGGTTTAGAGAACGTGCTCAAATAGAAGAAAACAGAACACAAACACACAAAAAAACCAACAAAAAAAATTAACCACTGAACACAAAAAACCCATGAAAAATAAACAACAACACCCCCCCCCCCATGAGAAAACCAAACAAAATACATAAAAAACTCCCAAAGCAAAAACAAAACAAAAACGACAACAACAACTGGAATTAATTTTTTTTTATTACTAACATAACCATGTGTGTTTTTAGCGGACTCCTTAGAGCATGCATCAGAATAACATTGTGTATGTATCTAGCTTAAGATTATTATTGTTTATTATGCTGTTAATTTATATTATGCATGTGACTGTAAGTGTAAGTCTGCGTGTGTGTGCACTTCCCCCTTCCCTCCCTCTCCCCCTCCCCCTCAACCCTCCCCCTCAACCC